ACATCATTCAGAACATGATAAATTTTTTTTTCGAGAAAAAAATTTGGGAAAGGAAGGGTTGATGGAAAGTTGATAATACTCAGGAACGGCCCTTAGGAATTTATTGCCTATAGTTTCATTAATGAAAAACATACTCCAAAGTTATCAAAACTTGACCACATGGTTTTGACCAGGAATCTTGCAGTACCTGATATATACGGTCAAATACTCATCTATAAGCTTGATGGATATTTGCGATCTCTCTCACCCTTGGTTTCCATAAATATAGTGTGTAAAAGCCGAATGGAATAAACTCGTTATTTCGGTTACTGTACATATTTGAAAAAAATCCCGAAACACCTCAAATGTGAATCATAATTTGAGATATTTCAACGTGGGAATGCCACCCTTACCTTCAACCCCCTCCGAATGACAGGTACAACCCCCAAATGTACTGAATGGATAGTATAAGTTTGTGATATATCGTTTGAAAGGTGTCTTCATTCTTTATTCAAAAATGTTATCGCTTTCAAGTTATGTTACCACTCAAAAACTAAAATATAATGCAAAACGTAATGAAATGTAGAATACGAAAACGAACTATGGATGTTAACGGAGTAGATGTTCAAAATAATTATAGCGAACGTCTTGGCAACATCCCAATCTCAATTAAAACTGTCTTTTAGCATTTTCTAGCATTATTCAATACATTAGGAGTGACCGACCTAATTGTAAGCGTTATTCGTTCTTTTAAGTCATTCAAATCTGAGGGTTCAGTTTTGTACACATTACTATTTACATATTCCCATGAAAAAATCTAATGATGGAAGATCAGGTAATTGCGCTGGCCATTCAATCGATCTTCGCCTCCACCGATGTTGTATCGAGGTATTGCTGGACATTCACTTGGTAATGTGGTGGTGCTCCATCCTGCTGAAATCATATCATATTCACTGGAACTTGAGGATTTTCTGGACCAGGATATAAAATTGCTAAACTTGGAATGACATTGTTTTAAAATAGTGCCAAATAATTATCGCCATTCAAGTTGCCCCCAATGACAAAGGGACCAATGATATATGGTTTCCTACAATCCCTACCCAAACATTAACCATTTGAAGGTGTTGCGTGTGGTCTTCTCTCATTCAGTGAAGATTTCCCGTTGACCAGTAGCGGCAATTTTGCCGATTAGCATGACCTTTAAGAGACAAAGTACACTAATCAGAAAACATAACGTGTTCTAATTGGATGATATTGTTATCCTATATGTTCATCATTTGCTCACCAAAAATTAGTTCTTTCATCAAAATTTTAAATAAAGAATGGAGGGACCTTTCAAACGATATATCACAAGCATATACTTCCTACTTGAATAATTGGGAGTTGTATATATATCATTCGACGGGGGTTGAAGGTAGGAGTAGTATTTTTTCGTTGACGTATATGAAATTATAATTTGAATTTGACGTTTTTCTAGATTTTGTTAAAATATGTACCGTACACATTGTATAAATTGCTGAATAGCCAAGAAACAATTCATGTATGTTTGCACGAATATAAGAGAACAAAAAAGATGCAAGGTTACGAGAGGAACATATTATAGTATGCTTTTTATTATGAGATTTTTACTCAACAGTTCACAAAACCGCGAAACGTATTTTATATTATTCAATAGCTTTTTCAGGCGTGATATTCGACACGCCTCTGATGATACTTTTCGAGAATGTAGAATATTTGGAAAATCATCTCACGGTCTAAGTGAGATATACAAATAGCTAACAAAATGTGCGTTTCTAGAGACAGCACGAAGGCACAGAAATATAAAACACACTTTCTCATTCGTAGAAAGGGTTCAGAATACTTTTTATAGACTTGTATCTGGAATGTGATTTGTTTGGCAGCTTCGGAACATCAGGTTCACTTCAACAACAGACAACCCTACAGACAAGATGATGAAAACTGAAACGTTCGTAATTTTACGAACAAGTTGCAAGGAATGTGACAAAAACAGACTAGACGAGCTATTGAAACTCGTTTCAAAGAACACGTATCGCATATCCGAATTTGTTGACCAGAAAAGCCTAGTGTCATTAAACAAGGTTTGATGAACGTTGTGGCTATAAATATTCGAATATGTTCCATTCCAAAGAGCTTATTATTGTTTACTCTTCTATGAACAGCTTTCTTAAAATTGGCATAAACTTTCCCAGGATATTTTCTGCTGATTCGTATTCAAAATCAACGCCATGTAACTGATAGTGAAAGAGAGATTTATCATGAGATAAAGTCAGATAAGAAATTAGTCTAGTTGGAACCCTGAAGAACCCTACTTGGTTGGTGAAACACGCATCAAGAAGTATGTTATGATTTTGGCGTGTGAAATCACTATCTGGTTTGCATTCAATCTATGGCAGAGGTTCTAGTTCCTCCAAACGTGAACAGCGGTTCGAATAACTTTTAAATAGTGTCAAATATGACATGTAACTTTTACATTCAGATGGTATCGCGTACAGAGATTTCCTGATGACTCGATATAGTTGATAACATAAAACGGAAAGTTTGCTTTAACGTAACCATAAGATAGAACTCGCAATTCAATATATTCCATCATTTCTCGTAACGCTACTGAATCTTGTTCACTTCCTATCAGATCGCCCTGAGCGGAGTATCGCTATATCGACGTGTAGTTGAAGGTAGCATCCGCTATCTAAGCCTGAAGCTCTTAACATTTCAGGATCAATTTTGTACTTTCGCTTCGGTGACACCGCACCGTCGACACGTCCAAGCGACTGAAATAGCTTGCATACAGGGTGTAATGGCATTTGCCGCCGCAGGCGTCGACATCAAGTACATCGTTGTTATCGGAGTGCACTTGTGCTAACAAGATACCTGATTGCAGTTTAATGTACCCGTGCAGAATAGTTGAGTTCCGATTTGGAGGAAACTTTGCCGCGGGCTTACGTCAGATGACGCGATATACCTATATAAACGAGTACATGGTGTTTTTTGTCGAAGACCAGTCAAACAGAAAATTCATGACAAGCAAAAATTGATAAAGACATTCATTTGGAATATTTTGAACTGACATTTAACTCTTTGAATTCGTTTTCCTATTTGTAGTTTAGGAATTTTCCAAGTTGCTACACTGAAGAACTAAGTTCGCCTGATATATATCCAATTGATTCTAATCTGATTTGTACCAGATCTTATATTCCAATTATGTACAGGTTTTTAATTCGGTTGGAGTAACTTCATTCTGGATTTGATATGTAGAAAGACATGCCAGATGGTAAATATAAATTCTTGATTACTGTGTACAGATTAATAACGAAGATCATTCATACAAAGGTGGCAAAACCTATATACATATGCTGCAATAGCATTTCGGGCTTAATGGTATAGATTCAGCAGACTTTTCTCAGACGAATAGGCCAGAACCGTCGAATCAACAACAAATGGGTTCTGGCTTCCTTTCATGGGGATTTGGGATCATCATGCTACGAAAGTGCCTAATACAAATGGCAGCACTAACCCATGGCAGCGCTAACCCATAGTTTCACCGGCTTAGTCAGAGGCTACTTGGTTTTAGAGCCACTGGAAAATGCTCGACTGTACGAGAACACCTATACATCACTCGGTAACAAACAGACGTTTGATCTTTCTAGCTCAGCACGCTTAAGACCCAAAGCCGTATTCAAAAAACACTAATTTTCACTAAACAGTTTTACAAAAAAGCAACACGTGGTTTGCCATGCAATGGCTTGTTCGGGCGTGTCTTTACTAACTGAATTCTACATATTCAATGCTAAATATATCTAATTCTATAATTTGAAGTACCTAAATTTCAAGTTGTAGGATTAGTTACTAAAGTCATGCTCGAAGAAGCCATTGTATGGCGAAACACGTATTGTATTATTGTAAATTCGCTTAGTGAAAATCTCACAATAAAGTGTTTTTTGAATACGTTAGTTATGGATTTTCATCAAGTATCGGCCAATTCCATCATATAAATCATAAGTTGAAATAACATTATGAGTTCTGGCCTCATTTGTTCTCTCTGCATGATAATAACATTGCTGTAGTATACTATCCAATTGAGCACCACCAAGGACGTTCCCTCACAATCAAAGAAAAAAAAAGATCAGGAAGATCTATATTTCTAGACGAGTTGGACAGTGGGGTGATTTGTTCCACTCTTTCCAAAATAAACTACCTATTCAAGTGATGTTATCCTATAACTCTGAAATACATTTCAATGAAAGCAAACCTATCATAAAAAGATCAGGGAAAAGAGAGTTATCTATCCGGGCGTCTCGTGGTTAGATCAAGCAACACAACTAAAATTTTCAGGGCTAATTTACAAGATGGCCATGATGTGTTTTCCACTCAATTCAGAAAACGCAATTATCAACTTCAAAAGGGAGTAAATTTCGAATACAAAAACTGCGTCCCTTCACAACCGCCTTGTCAGATCTCCCTTCGCAGGAAAGATATCGAACTCAAACCTTCTTCTTGAAAAGAATTGTGCTTGGTTAGATCAATCGAATCGAAGAAACGACCCATTCAGCAGGAATGAAACGGGCAACGCCAAAACAATGTCAACTCGCGGAATGAAATGACGTCAAAGAAAATTTGATAGATTTGACTGCATTTGAAACAAAAAGTGATTTGATTTTAATGAAAACTTCGTAAATGTACCGAGAATTCAGCAAATACAAAAGAGACACATGAGTCACAGTACGAATGGAAAGTGAGAGATTCAAAATTTCTCATAAATTGGGAACTGGCACGTAAATATACACAAACGTTTTCGAATGGTGTACTGTATGAAGTGTGATTTCATTTGAATTCATTCAAATAATTTTGGAAAATAGTAGTAGGATAACCTGAACGTTTCAACATAACAATCATATCTGGATTCTAGTTCTCATCTTCTTTGGTAGACACGGCCGTAGAGTAAATAGTTTTCTTCCTTTTGTAGCATTGATACATTCGAAGACGAAAATTGAAATTAAACTCACCGTCAGTGTGATGGAATTGGTGCACATGAATGTGGGGACGTTGATTCTTCAGCAGCTTCCGTAGCTTGGGGCAGACTAGCTCGCGCATGGCCCCTTACGTCGGGGCGGCTCACCAGCCGAGCACATGTGTGCCCCAAATTCCTCACTCAACTCAACGTCCCAGACTAGGTTAGGCAATCTGGAATGAAAATCTTTATTGATGCATTGAAAATAATGTTTTATCATTTCTCATCAAAAATTTGATAGAACCGACAAATTCTTGATGAAAATCCATTTGAACACACTTCAATGTGACATTTTTACTTGAAAGTTTACAAAATCGGGACACGTGTTTCGCTATACAATAGCATCTCCGGGCGTAACAAGATGTTATTGTTTATCGAGACGTGTCACGGTTTTATAAACTTTCAGGTGGATTTATCACATATGCTTCAATAACCTCTTGTTATTGGTAGTGTCCGGTGAATTCTCCGGAAACAGTTCACGGAAAACAATTCACCGAAAAATGATTCACTGAAAAACAATTCACTGAAACATAATTCACTGAAGAACAATTCATCTAATGAAGTGCATGTATTCTGATATTTGTATTTGATAGATGTTATAACGAATACCTGTGTCTTGGTTAGTTGTTAGGACAAATGCATCTCTTCTTATTTGTGTTTTGATACAGTGGTTAAGATGTTACGTTGTTTGTGTTCCGGTGAATTGGTTTCGGCGAATTGCTTTCGGTTAATTCTTTTCGGCGAAATCTCTTAATTTCATTCTAATTATAGCAAGCGCCGAACATGATGGCGAGCCCATAACTTATGCACACAAACTGATTTTCAATGTAACCCCCACCAGAGCTCTTGCAATACATACAAATGCTCTGTATAGATGCTTATCATTACTCGTCCTCCAATGCTGTTGGCGTTTGGCATTGTCTGGCATATATAAGTTTTGTATATATCGGGCAATGAATTAAAATATTAGATGGATTATTTACGACTTTTCATAAGACGGAAGGGTGTCGTATTATGGTAAATATTGATGACGTTTTGGGAATTATCGCTTCAGAAACATCTCTTCGTAGAAATTTGAAGAAAATAGGTTTCAAATGGAGAAGGGCTGAAAATTATAGAAAAATGTTAATAGAGAAAATGGACAATAGAGCATTGAGGATCAAGTATTTACAAAAAATCAATTATTTTCGTAGCCAACACCCACCAATTGTGTTTCTTGATGGAACATACCTTCATAGTGGACGTACATTTTCCAAGAACTGGACGAATGAATCAATCAAAGGGTTATTTAAAAATATTGCGAATGGACCAAGACTCATTATTGTCCATGCAAGAGGTATATAATTGTCGGCATATAGTCTTGGTGTCCTGAATTTCTGCAAATTTTATATTGATTGCACAAATCAAATCGCACCAAAGGTATACGAAAGTAGATTCTTGTACATTCATCGAGAATTTCACACATTTTTGTGAAGAGATAGTAGAGTAGTCATCCAAAAAGTGATACAAGATGATGTGATCTAATGTGAGCGGAAATATTCTGATCGTCATCCTCTTGCACCAGAAGCATAGCTCTAATAGTTCTCAGGATTTGAGTCTAGTATTAACCTCTTCGTTGTGTTTTTTTCCTTCGATTTGTATATATTTCATTATGCTTTATGTTACTGAATTCTATAATATTAGTTATCCAGGGAGGGCACACTCTTGGTTCACTCATACTGCAATAGTATTGTTAGTAACTTGTGTAAAAGTTTACTTTTATGAAAAATTTGATTTCATTTCAAATCAAATCCACGAAAGATCATTATGAGTGGCGTATACGGGGTGTTTATTTAACATGCGGCAAAAATTAAGGGACTATTCCTTGGACTATTCTAAGGCTATTTAGTCCTTTGATGATTTTTGATAGGGCGCTTTGTTTCGAATATATTGGTATTTCTGCCATGAAGACCTTCTTGGCGGGGTATCCGCAACTTTTTGGAACAAACGCTTCTTCAGTTTCTGGAGGATGTACCATTGGTTACAAGAAATGCAATGTGGTTTATGCTCGATGGTGCACTAGCGCAAGTCAGCATATTGGCTCGAGAGTTTTCAACAGCAACTTACAGAGAACTGGATTGATCAAGGTGGACCTTACTTATGGCCTGCTCGATCATCGGACTCAAACCTCCTGAATTATTTCCTATGGGGCCACCTAAGTCACTAGTTTATACTATTGCAGTGGAAGAAGTGGAATATTTGAGAAATCGAATAATTGCTGGGTTTAACGAAATCAGAAACGATCCTGATGTCTATGAGGAGAAGATTGAATTCTTACATTTGAGCGAGGCGTAGTCATTCTCAACAGTTCTTGTAGATTAAGAAACATTACATGTGATTTCTGGTAATAAATACCTTTCATCAAAGTAAAAAAATACTCAGAATTGTCAAAGGAATAGTTCCTCAATTTTTGCTGCGTGTTTAATAAACACCCTGTAGAAGGAAATAGTGCACCATTATGCAGTATGTGCAGAAAATAATATATGAGACACTACTAACAGTTTCACCGACGTCATTGAATTCTACATCGCTCTGTTTGGCTATTGCTGATTATTCTCTTCTGCTTGAAGAGTTTACTATTTCGGTAAATAGTCAGATTCATTCTACATTCCGTCTTCACCACATCAACAAATTAAACCCAAGAAATCAGAGGTTTCTCAGGAAGAAGCAATCGTGAATGAATCAATGAATGAATACTTGAATGAAACTGGATGATATTTGATCCCTATCAGAACTCACTTGAATAGTTTACTACAATGAAAGGTTTAGGATTTCTAGAACACTTCGTGAACGGAATAATTATCCTACCATTTTTTTTTATTCTTTCAAGCAACAAACAAATTCATCATGTCGAGACTGCAGAACTTTATTCCTTCGCGAAGCTGTGTAAGACTCGAATTGATTGCAAGTTTAATTATCTTCAGAATCGATTTGTACTCGGAAATGATTGACTGAAAATGAACTTGTATCACTTTCAGCCTATTTGTTCTCTGTTAGTGATACTGGGGTATATTAACTTTGGAACGTTAATGAATTTTATAGTGCGAAGATCATTCACCAGAGGCTGACAATTAATTTCTGATGGTGTGTGAATTGTCGATATAGATAATTAAAATGATATGCTCAGCTTTTCGCAAGCTATTGTCTCAATACTAATTCATTATTAGCCCTAGGTAAAATAATAATAATAATATGATCATGATGGTGGCTGATGAACTCGGTTTAATTTTTGAAACTGAACAAGGTGATCACAACTTTGTCACCAAAATGGAATCCGTTACGTAAAAGGTCCACATATAAAAGCCGCAAAGACCATTTCATTCCTGCTTCCCCTTCAACAACATTGGAGACTTCAGAGTACCTGACTGTCGCTTTCCTCAAGTCGATTGGACTGAAATCGAAAACTGAGGGGTTCATCTTGGAATGCCAAAATTATGTATTTGACACCTTTGTCAACCATAGTCGCGAAATGGGTATAAAGGTTTTTAACCATAGCTGTAGGGGTGCTTGAGGTGTCTGAGACCCTAATTTACTTGCTGTTACAATGCCAGGCATATTCTGTTTCATCGACTCAACGCAGCGCCAATAGTGTTGTATTAACACCTTCATTTCTTTTCCGAGATTTCTGGGGTAGGTATATTTCCAGTGGCAAGGATGAAAATCAAGGCCTACATTCGGATATTTTTGGATGATTTGCATCATCAAGAGCTCATGACAAACAACTCGACTTTGTAGTGCTTCATATATTGATAAAAAGTTGTATTAAGAGTGATCGTGAGCCAGTTTTCTCGGAGTTCTCACTCGGATTCAAAAAACAACCTGTTTTATCATTTCCCAATTAGGTTCAACAGTTCATGATCACCCTTGGAGACCCTGGGAAGCTGGCGCCTACGCCTAACAGTAGGATTTCTGACTGGCCACTGTCAACTAAGGAAACACCTCCACAATATGGGGCTAGTGGACACACCTCTATGCAGGATGTTTGAACAGGAAGATGAAACTGTCAGGAATATCCTAAGCGAATGTCCGGAGTTATCGTCAAATAGAGAGTGTATGTTCGGCAAGTCTTGGCCTGCACATGCCGATATAAAGGAGATGTCTCCCAGAGACCTGTCCACCTTCCTGGAAAAGAAAAGATGGACGATGACCTAGGAGGTCAACATCTTGGGAGGATGTACAATGGATCACATGTGGCTTACACTCACCCTCTCTACTCTACAGATACAGATACAGATAGTTCGTGAAGTAATGACCCATGATTGAAAAATCAAATTTCACTATGGATTTCCAAAACGGATATTGTTGAGTACTGGGATACTCGAATTAATAAAATGATCAACTAATACTCAACAGAAATCGAAATAAGTTGAACACTGTAACGAGGAGAGATAAATATGTATAAGAAAATGAATATTCAGAAATGAAAATTTTCATAATTTTCAAAAAATTATGAATATAGCTACGTGGTAGGAGATCATCATGAAAATGTCCGTATAGGACAAAACATTAGTAACATTAGTAAGAAATTAAAGTAGTATGAACATAAGTTTTATTTCTCAATTTTCATCATACCAATATTATCAATCACCAATTTCTGTTTGAACATGAGTTTGATTCTTGAATTATTATGTGAATCTCTTCAACTGCTTTGTTATGATGTGTATAGCACTAGCAGGTGAATCTATTCTCAAAACCACCAGAGTTACTTTGCCAACCGTCATCAATTATAATCATTATTGAAACAGTGAAACATGCTTCGAAAGTATCAACAACCAATTTTCAAGGAACTTTACTAAAACAGTGAAGTAGAAATTAACTGGTAATTTCCAGACGATTCAATTCAAGATATTGATCAAAATTTCTGAATTATTCAGAAGACCAGAATTATTTACCGTGCTACTGTTCATGTTAGAATTAACAGAAATGATTAATTTTTCTCGCTTCCTTTCACTAAATTAAGATTGATATCGCAAATAATGATCACTTTATCACGCGATTAACCTTTCCCTAGAGATGGAGAACTTCTGAACTTTGACACTTGAATTTATATACAATTCATGAACTTACTGGATTGATTGACTGATTGAAATTGATTATTCTGAATGCAAAATTGGTGACATTTCAGTCACGACAC